TTTGTTTAATGAAGTTTACCACTCTTATAATATCCTTCATAATTTATTACCAAAAGAATTTAACATCAACACTTATCTATGAAGAAAACAATATGTGGAAACAGCATTTTTTCTTTCACAATAGAAACAAAGCTTTTTAGAGAGCCAACCATGAAAGCAGCACCCTCTGTGCAAATGCCAATACAATTCTTCCACCCCCAGATATTTAGATAAAATATTAAATACTATAGCTATTCCTCTACTTGTCTCAAGGAATTCTTTATAGCAGAGGAAATTTCTTTACTGCCATTTTTCAGTTTATCACACAAAACCTCAACTTCATGCAACAAGGATTTGCTAACTTACTACAGTCAAAAGTCGTTAATTCGGACACCCATAATCAGGAAATGATCTATAATCCAGACCTCAAAGCTACAAACCTTCTGCGCATGCGGCTGCGAATGACGCGTGTGCGCAAACCTTTCCCGATGCACGCATCTGTACAGAATACGTTTTCGCGTGCGCGTTAATGTATAACGGACGGTCTAAGCTAAGCTAAAATGATCTAATTCAGCAGTTAATGTTGTAGATTGCGTTGTTCCTTAATCTTCGAATTGGATCCGGCTATTTTTTGCAGACTGCAAGAGCAATTTTTAAAAAAAAAAAAAAAAAAAAAAAAAAAAAAAAAAAAAAAAAAAAAAAAAAAAAAAAAAAAAAAAAAAAAAAAAAACAAAAAAAAAAAAAAAAAAAAAAAAACGCTTGAACTTTCGATTATGTCAAACAGAATTTCCGATGCTGGAGCTCCCAAAGGATCTACAAATCGAAAGTATGTTTCGATGTCCATCAAACAAAAAGTGGAATTGCTACAAAAAATGGATAAAGGCATATCCTTTGTTTATATAACCGTTCCGAAATCTGTTTATCAATTTCACGCTGCTCTGCGCGCGGCGCGCAATGAACTGGAAGTTCATCTGCCAGCACTATCGTTATCTTCAGGGCAGATGTTTTTATTTTATTCGGCTTATAATTCCTTACTAAATGCAGCATTTCATCTCAATGTACTCCGTCTTTGATATGATTTAAATCAAATTCCTCGTCATTATAAATATCATGAATACAAATCATATAGTTTTCTGGTTGCAATTTTCTAATTTCGGCTATGCGTAATGCATGCATGCGTTGAAAGAAATGTTTAATAAAGTAAACAAATAAATATTAAACTTTTTTTTTTTTTTTTTTTTTTGTAAATTTTACCCTTTAGATCATAATTGCTCATTATTTTAAAAATTACGGTTTCAAATTTTAATTTTATAATTTCTGCATGCCATCTTACCAGATTTAAACTGGTGATCTATAATCCGGAATCGCCGAAGTGCCGACGAGTCCAGATTAAAGACTTTTGACTATATATCGTTTGAAAGTGAAATATTTTCAATTTTCGTTATTGCACCTTCTCCCAACATTTTACATTGCTGGCATTATCAAATTTTTGCCAAACGTGTGACTTTTCCTTTTCTCTGCAATAAGCTCTGCTACCAAAAAGCTTGCTTCCTGAGGCATTAAAACCAGACTATCCAGCATTCAAAATAACTGGAATAATTTAGAATTTTTGAAAATTCTAAATTCGAGATTTGTATTGCAGTTACAGAGTTGGTAATACACTTAACACCCATACATTTTCACCAAAGTGTTTCAGCACTATTATTCACTATTGTGTTATAATAGTGCTAAAAACGGATAAGTAAGATGTCACCATTACAACCATAAGAAGTTTTTATTTATTTATTTTTGTTCAATGTAACGGCAATAACATTTCAATTCGTGTGAACAGTTATACAATTAACATCCCGCCATTTTTGAAAAAATTATTAATACAGTAGACTCCGGATTATCCACGTCTGCTGCACAGTTTCTTTTTTTACAAGCGTACAGAAAAGAAAAATGCTCACAAAACTGAGCGAAACGTTCAATTTGCTAACATCGTGCTTATTTATTGCAAAAATATCCCCGGCCTTCTCGGAACCTTCCCCTTTGATGAGTAAGTGATTTCTTACTCACTCTTGCAGTGCCCGCTCCACTGTCCTTTCTTGTCTTACTGACACGTCCCACTTCCTCCCATTTGCCATTGTTAGTTTAAGTCTGATAGTGTTTGCGAACCAGCCTTATCTTTTATTGTGTTCAGTGCTTGTACTTTTTCGTTACCGATTTTGTAAATTAAAATGTCAGGAAAACGAAAGAAGGCCGTGTTGACAATTGTGCAAAAACTAGAATTAATTTCCAAAGTAGCAAACGGCGCTACAAAGCAGCAGATGAAATCGGATTACGGAATATTGGGGGTGTTGGTGTATTCAATTATGGCAAAGCACACTAGGCTAAAGAATACACAGGTTGAAATTTACAAACAGTGCGTGACATTCTAAAGCAAAAAGACAAACTGGTGAACTTTGCATCAATGTCGGATAGTGCTTCCGCAAAGAAAACGCGAAAAAGTGTGAAAGGTTCTACCTTTGATGAGCTAGACACGGCATTGACAGAGTGGTTAGCTGAAGTACGAAAACAGGGTACTCCTGTAAATGGTCCTATCATTGCGGCGAAGGCAAAAACCTTTTTTGAGTTGTTAGGCCTGAAAGGAAATTTTGATGCATCTTTTGGCTAGTTGACTCGTTTTAAGCAGCGACATGGAATTCGAGAAATTGGACTTCATTGGGAGAAACTTAGTGGTGACCAACAAGCAGCCGACGATTTCCACCATGAATTTGAAGAATTTGTATTAAAAAAAGAGCTATCTTTTGATCAAATTTAAAATGCCAACGAATCGGGACTTTTGTCGACAAATCGGGAATCGCACTTTAGCATTTGAAAATGAAAGTAAAGCGGCGGGTTATAAAAGCAGCAAAGCATAGGATCACTATCATGTCTTGCAGTAAGGCTACCGGTGGACATAAACTTAAGACTTGTTGTCATTGGAAAGTTTAAAAAAAAAAAAAAAAAAAAAAAAGAGATCTTTCAAAGGCACAAGGATAGAAAATTTACCCGTTGTTTACTTTAACCAAAAAAAGGAATGGATGGACCGAAACATTTTTCAAGAATGGTTCGAAAACATCTTTTTCTTCAAGTGCAAAACATCTTAAATCGAAAAGCCTGCCTGAAAAAGCTGTGCTATTGATCGACAACACACCTTCTCAGTCAGCAACAAGCATGTTAAGTCTTCTGATGGACAAATTTTTGCAAAGTTTCTCCCCCCCCCAAACATTACTGAGCTAACCCAACCCATGGAACAAGTAGTCATTGCAACAATGAAGAGAACATACAGAACCAAGCTGCTAATGACCAAAATTGAAGAAAGGTTTATCTGAAAGAGTTTTGGAAACACTACACAATCTTCGACAGCATCTACGATATTGCATCTGCATACAACTCAGTGAAACCGTCAACCCTCATAACATTATGGAGAAAACTCATGCCTAATGTTGAAGCCAACAACAACCTAACCCCTTTGAGTTGTAAAGAAGAGAAGGAAGCTATAGAGACGCCCACAGCAACTTTTGCCGATATGGTGAAAACAGTTCCGAGTGGTGAGAACGTTGATGCTGAAAGCATTAACGAGTGGTTGGAGTGTGACGTCAACGAACCTGACTTTGAACGCTTGACAGATGACGAAATTGTGAAGAAAGCAAGGGGAGAGAGACCGAGAATGAAAGGACAGTGAAGTGAAGACGAGAAGATACTGTGCATATGCAAGACTCATGAAGTGGACAAGTGCTGAGCTATTTGGAAGAACAAGACGACACGGAGTTGGCCGAGAAACTTATGCTACGAAAAATGCAATCTCGGATCAAGAGAAAATGCTTCCAAAGCACAAAGCAAACACAAATGACTGATTGTTTCAAAAAGGTTAGTTTTACAGTTATGCTTTTGTAATTACATAATACATTACAGTATTAAAACAGTACATATGTATTGTGTATCCTTGACGCCAGTATACAAAACACTTTTCTATTTTCATTAACAAAATGCATTTTAGGATAGTTTTGAGTGATATACTAAAATATTAAGCGTTAGTTAAACATTTCCCGCTGTTTATTTTACATTTTATTGTATATAAAACGATTTTTCAAAGTTGGAATGACTGTTTTTTTTGCTTGCTATATCCGTTTTTAGCTTTTTTCGGATTATCCGCGATTTTTGTTATCCGCAGCTGCTGCACCACACAATTCCGCGGATAATCGGGAGTGTACTGTATTTGGGACAGAATGGAGTATTTCAAAGTTACAGGATTGGGGCGGGGACATAATACACAACTTTGAAAACATATACAATGGCTAGGCAATGTGAAAAAATATAAGTGATTCAGTTTTTTTTTACGCTATACCCATTACTCGTGTCTCTTAATTATCATAAATAAAGAATAATCTTAAATTTCTGCCTGAATAATAGGCAACATTTCAACCAACTTTCATATTTGGACCTTACTTTCATATTGAAGGCCTACAAAATATATATGTCAGTTTTATATCTGGAATGCACTTTTTTAAAAATCTCATTTTAAAATTTAAGTTGGTACACAAAAAGAAGGTTTTTATAATTTTAAAGAGTAAATTTTTTCCGATTCATTTTGCCTTTCTAATGAGAGTTTCATTTTTTGTACATTTGACTATCTGGAATTCGGGATTTCTGAGGTTTCTGGATAGTTGAGTCTTTACTGTACTAAACTTAATGCAGTGAATACAGTGTCAAGAATATACTTGTTAAAACACATTTAAAATACTGTACCAATTTTTATACATAATGTGGAATTTGTTTCAGTATTGTGTTTAATAATCTTTTGCTCAAAGCTGTAGCTACAGGACATCAGTACTTCAGAAACATACACACAAAAGTAATTTATATATATATATATATATTTGGGGGGTCTATTTTCTTTTCAAGTTAGACAAATGATAATCAATTTACTACATATCAGGGCTTAGGATAACATAGATAATCAATAATTAAACAATTTACAAAATAAAAATGAATTAAAAGTACTAAAAAATTTGTCACTTTATTTGGATTGAAGCATCTACTTCATCCTTTTACATATTGAACTGGAGGGAATTACAAATATGCCAACAAATGATAAACCTGCACTGTTTTATAAGACAATGTGTGTAACAACATACAATGTAAAATGTTCCTACATATTTCTTTTCTCATTTTATACTTCTTCCGGGGAAGTTAAAAGCAGTTCAATGATGAATGAATTTATAAATATATTACATTATTTTACAAAAGATGCATCAGTACTGTTTCACTCCTTTCAGGAACAATTTGATGCAGATGCAGAGGAATGTTCCCCAAAACAGAGGATCCCCGGTGCTTTGATTATGCACAGGAATTCTTGGAAAATATAATACACCTAAAAAGAAAATGGAAACTTTATATAGAAAAGACTATAAATATTAATAAAGAAAGTAACTTAGAAAGTCTGTAATCATATAATTTAGTGGATTAAAAAAAAAGGCGTGTCCATGAAAGTCTTTATATTCCATTTATCTTTGCAACCCTTAGTCAGAGAGATTCTTATACTCATTCTAAACACAAAATGTTTGACTCTCCTTTGTTCGACTCGTGATTTTTATATATTTCTCAGAACCAAAATTCAAACCTATCACTACCTTCAAAGAGGTAAATAAAATAAAATAATATAATAAAAAAAAAAAAAAACAAGATCGATTTTCTCCCTCACTTAAAGTCATTCTTTTGGGATTTATTCATGTGTAATATTCTTTAGTTTTTGTGTTGCATTTGTTATACTAAAAGCATTTTCACATAATTTATGTAAAACTATTCTAATCGCATTCATGTGCAGTTTCATTATTTAAGGATAATAATTTAAGTCATACAAAAAAAGATTATGAAACACTTTAAATTTATGCAAATAACATAACCAGTTTGCTATCGGCTAATACTTACATCTGCTAATATTTTCTCATCTTCCAGAAATAAAAAATTAGGAATAATATCAAATGGCACAGTCAGTTGCTCAAATTGGAGCATTTAATTGAATATCAAAGAAAATACTGCAGAGAATATAGTGATGCTACAAAAGTAATTAAAGTAGAAATTTAAGGGCTTGTGGATTGCTTTATTTGTCAGGCCTAAAGAATGCAAATGATACAAACTTTATATGCACAGAAATTGATATGGAATAAATACATTAAGAATAACCGGATATGTATACATTAATATAAACTTAAGTGTTATCTTTCATAAGATGCTTTTTTTTTGGGATTATTTTCTTTTCATTAACTAAAGATATAAAAGAAAAAAGTATAAAAGAATATATTAGTAACATGCATGTGATAAATTTAGATTGCTTGAAAATATTAACACACATGGCTAAGCTAAATATTTTTAATATTATACTACACCATAGTTATATTTGACTTTTCAACTTAATTTTATAAAACATTATTTCACCAGAATTTTTTTAAAAAAAACAGTATGCTGTATAAAATACACAATGCAAATAAGTTTACACAGTACTAGGAAGTTAAGTGGAGCATACATTTTCCAGGAGTTAAAATTCCAATGAACACGTCGCTGATTTTTTACATTTCTTACCCTTAAAATAAACCTAATGTGTGTACAAGGTTACTTAGTCACCAATCCATTAATTTCATATAATTTTTGCAATTATCATAACAGAAGGGGGTAATTTTTTTATGTGATAAATATTGGGGATTCTTTAATACGTCTACAAAACAGGTCAACGAGAGAGAGAAAATTCGGGTTAAGAGTTATATTTTAACTTATTACCACAAAATATTAACTCTTGCATTTTTAAGAAACATATAAAACATCGAAATGATGAAAGGTCATTGCAGAAGTATTAGGGTTGTTAGTTGAATATTCTTAATTTATGACAACTCAAAAACAGAACGTACACTGTTATCCCTCATTTTTTTTTTTTTTTAATTTGCATACATATACAATCATTTATCACACTGAAAAATTTCTTATGCAATTCAAATATACACACCAAATCATTTCTTGTGCTTTTTACTCGATTCTTTACTATGCTTGTCATTTTCTCGTTTTCTTTTGTTATCATTTGGTTTACTCTTAGCAGGACTTTTTTTAGATTTTCTGGAACTACTATGTTTTGAAGAATTCTTTTCAGGGCTTGATTTTCCTCTTGATTTGGACTTCGGCTTCTTAGTGTACTCATCTTGAAAATCATCTCTTTCTCGATCAGCTAAAAAAAAGGAAAGGGGGGGAAAGACAATTTAAGCAAGAAAGTTCACAAACTGCAAAGATCTAAAAACTGTAATAAACTATTTTATTAAAAAAATTAACTTCAAATTATAATTTCAGAGCCACAGTGGATTAACAAATATGCGTTGCTTCACTTTATTACTTCTTCATTAAGCCTCAAAGTGATATGACCAATTCTGGTCAGTCGTGAGACTTTTTTTGTTACTTTGCATACACATCAGGCTATAATTTAGGATATTTTGCTTTCTTTAATAATACCATGTTAATTTATGAAAATAGAAGCTAAAACAATGATGCAAATTTAGCTAATAAATGCTGTTTAAATACACATATTAATGACAGACCCAAAGCCCTGTACCACTCAGAATGTTAAAATAAACCTTTTCAAAGACATTTCTTACACCTAGATGTTAAAAATTACAGCAAAGAAAACTATTATGCAAAACAAAGTCATACTTGCCAACCTACGACACTCAAAAATCAGGAGATTTTTTAAGGAATTGGGAGATTTTTCACAATGTTAAAAAGACATTTTAAATGATGACAATA